CACGTGATCATGGAGACTCCACTACATCCGCCTGCCAGACAAATAAATCTTCATTTTGACTTGAACTTTTGCTGCGGTCCGTCGGCCCAAACGAGAAGTTGGTAGCAAATTAACAGCTGTTGCGTAGCTGTGGTTCCGAGCTCAGAGCTTCCGAGCCTCCGAGCTCCTGAGTTCCTGCCTTCCTGCGGCTTCTCAGGTGATTTACGGCCAAGTTGAGACTCGGCCAACGGCGTCTGCATATTAATATGTGACTTGGCATTTTACTTTCTACGCCATGGAACTTGCAATCAAATCCAACGCCTGCACTTTCCCCCAGACGCATTTCTTTACCTCTAGACTTCTAGCTCCGTGCTCCTTTGCTCGCAGCACGTTTTATTGTTGTGCCGGCCAATTTGTGACGAGTGAGTGCATATAATAAAGCAAATTATATTTCAGATTCAAATGCTATGCAGTCGAGCGGAAGGCGTCTCAAGAGCCGGTCCACAAACGCTGGCTCGGCTAGGAGCAGGGACCACGTATACGCCACGTTGTCTAGTTGGCCCAACGTGGCCGTGGCCTTTGCGCCTGCTGGTTGCGAAAAGTATGTTACAATTATTTTCATCAAAAAACATCAAGCGAATTCTTCGTCGCACACCTCACAAAATCGTAAATTGCATTAGGCCATATAAAAAGATTCTTATAGTTAAGATTCTCTTATAATAATTCTAGTTATTTCTTACTTTAAGATCCTTTTATCAAAAATTTTGAATTATAATTACCTTTATTACCCTATATTAAACCTAGTCTCATTTATTTTCAACAAAATGGATCATAATAATACTAATGTCTGCATTTTTTATTTGTTTTACTTATATTAGCTTAACTCAAAATTAAAAGTATAAAGTAAATTAAAATTATTTACAGTTTTTATTTAAGTAAAGCCCAAATTGTTAATTATTTACGCAATCTATGCAATTGTTTAGTTTAATTTAGAGTAGCTTTCAAAACAAATTTCGTACTGCAAAATTGTTTAATACCACTTAATATAATTAAGAACAAAATAATACCGCGCATAAAATATAATTATTACCTAATGATATTTAATCCGTTTGATTTGATTAAATTGTGTTCGAATCAGGAATAACATCGTTATTCAAATTTAATTTAATTTGTAACATCGTTATTCAAATTGAAATCAAATATTATTTCCAATCACAGGAAACGAGGAATATTCTTGCGTAATACTTTAATTTAATCCTATTAGTTTAATTGGTCGCCTGGACATCATTTGTGTGACGTTTTTTGCCATTGCCTTTCGCTGCTGTTGTTTTTCTATGTTATGTACTATGAAAGGCAAAGAGCAGAACAAAAAAGGAGTGCACTTGAAATTGTTGATGGGGCGAAGTGAGTCGACTTGGTAGTGTGTGAGTCACAATATCCACTTCCCAGTACTTTCCTGCCCAACGGTTGCATCCGCATGCTTAAAGTTTTGTTTCGGGCTTTTCATTTCTTTTTTTTTTTTGGTGTGTCAACTTTTCCCTTTGTTTTGCATTTTAGTTGCCCCATGGCCCTCTTTTGCCCCCCGCCCCCTTTCCCCTTCCCTCCAGAATCGGGAAAAGCATTTCGAAAATGTGGAGAAATGAAAACTTCTGGCCCCGGTCTGCAATGCTGACCGATGTCGACATCGTTGTTGGCCAGCCGCATGGCATAAAGAGCGACAGTCCGCAGGACATTTTATATTTAATTTACAGTGTGACCGCACTTGGTCTCCGTCCGTCCGATTGTCCGTTGTCCGTTGCCCGTTCGTCCGTTTGTCCGTCCATCTGCCTGTTTTTTCCTCTTCTCTGACCTTATATGTATAATGCCATCCGTTCGCTGTGCGAGTGCATTTAATAAAGTGCAATGCGGGGTTGGGTATGAAAATGCATGGGAAAGTGCCATCGTTTCGGTGATTTTCACTCTTTGGACTTTCCCGCATCATCGTATTTGTTTGTTCTGCCGCCACACGGTCAGAAATTAATTTCTAATTCCCATTATGGTGGTCCACTTGCCCCGAAATCTACTAAATACGCTATCCATTAAGTAAACACATACATTTTTAAACGAAAATTGCATTAAATAAAGTTTCAAATAGGCTTTCGGCCGTCCAAAGTGGGGATTAGCGAGTGGGCGGCTGACAGGCAGGGGGCGTGGCACAATCACAGTGGCCAAGAGTTGCCACAACAACAACTGAAATAAACCCAACAAATTCGAATGGGAATTAAAACGAAAAACTTGAAAAGGAACCACGAAGGTACAATCTTCCAATACTCTTTAAGGGATTTAACGGAATTTATAATAAATGTATCAAGCTTTTATTTAATCAAGATTTATCATAAAAGATTATTACAAGTTTGAATTTTAAATTGTATAAATACTTTTGATCAAACCCCTTAGTTATTACACCAGGAATATGGTACTACAATCCATTTTTAGAGCATTAAATCGGTCAGGTTAAAGTATTCGGGGTGTACAAAATTCCTTTCTCAATTATTTTTGCCCTGTATCCACTCGACAATTTTTTTTTAGAGTTCCCGAACTTGTGGGGATTTTGCAAGCGAAGGGGGGAGAAACACGGGTCCATTCTGAATTGATGCCGAGGATTGGACGGGCTGAAGCCGTCCATGTCTATGGGCCATTCAGTGTGCAGTCGTCCACACTTTTATTGCTTTAATTGCGCACCGAAGCGCAACAAGAATCGACGCACATCCTCTCACATCTAGGACACACATGTTGCTAATGAAGTTTTCTAACAACATTTCAACTCATGTCAGATCATAATCTGTTAATCTGCGAGGGCCTGCCCACACGGCCCAGGATTGCTGAAATGGCATAAAAATAAACTAGAACATGTCGAAGCTGGCGACAACTGTACACCGAGCACATCAATCCATCCGCCTGATATGGACACTTTGGTCCTTTCACTACACTTTTGACCCAGGAGATGGGCGAAAAAGTTAATGAAAATGGATTTTTGGTATGTCATCGAAGGGCAGTAATCATTTGGAGTCTCATGTTCAAAGGCCAAGCTAAGAAGATTCTAGATATTGTAAGGGGGCTAATTGAGAAGGGATGCTTATACTCGGAAATTGCTATTATAAGGAAACGAAAGTATGTTATGGTTTAATTAACCTGACTTTTGAAAAGCTATTTATCTTTTATGATATGTGTACCAAATCCATGATTTCGGGTCTCAATTAAATTTACCTTTAAACTTTACTTTAATAGCAATTCAGTAATTTACTAACTCGAAACTATAAATTCGCTTCTGTTCGTTTCAATATTACAAATTACTAATTTGATCGATTGCTTAAGCTGCCACCGAAACTCTGCGCATTAATAATATCCTTTGGCAAACACAAACACAAATAAAGGCTGGCAAATACTAGGACTCGCACACACACACACACATCTGCAATTTGAGCAACATGTCAAAGCAAATAAACAACAAGGACTCCCTCTGTCAATGGGAAAACTAGTCGTTGGGGTGGGAAAATTAAGGGGAGGTGCGCCTATCGCATTTGTATTTGTTATGCTTACGCCTCGATTGTCCTGAAAAATCAACAAGCCCATCGATGGCCATTGACGTCTAAGCGCCGAATGGGTGTGTATTTTAATTAAACCTGTTTTTCGACGGCACTTATCAGATGCAGACAGGACGTGCACCTCAACGCACCCACCTTCCCACTATCAGGTGCTAAAAATAAAACTAGACAATGCTAACGGGAAAAGGAGCACTCTAAAAAATTGAGATCCTCATATGATGGATGGTATGCAGTGTCCTACAAACCTAAAAGTCAACATTAGTTGACTTGTTAGATTTCAAAAATCTGTTAGTTGATATCTTAAAATATGTATTCAAATTATATAAGCACATATATCTTTTGACTAATATTATTAAATATTTATAAATGAATTTTATACCCATTTCCCTAAAATAACAAATCTTCTAAATGTACCTAAAATTCTTCTGTGTGTATCCGATACCCATTCAAGCTAGAAGCCAACATGTTTTACTGTTAATGGACTTTCGATATTTGCAGGAAGTTATGGCAGCTTGATTTATGTCCATGCCTTTTACCTTTGGCTGTCGAACCACCAGGTAAAGTCGTTTAATTATTGAACAAGAGAGGGCAACCGAATGCTTGTCTGGCAATCAAATTTGAAATAGTCTGGCATAAAAAATGTAAGCAGATTTCCACTGGCATTTTGCCATTGCTATTACTTACTAACATCAAATAAAACTCGAGTTTACAGCCTGGCACATAAAGTCCTCAAATTGATGGGGGAGTCGGGAAAACACAGAAATCAAAGTAAGCACCTAAGCAGCTTATGCAAAAGACAATCGAAACCCACCGCCCCAACTTCCACCAATATTCTTTTCGCATTTTATTCTTATTTTACAACGCCAATAGGCAAAAAGTGTTAAACAAAATTTGCGTCTGGCGTTTATTGAGTGGAACGAACGCCTCAGTTCGAGCTGAATGGAAAATGTAAAAATCTAAAATCTAAAAAATCTAAAGAGTAAAAGCAAAAGTTTAAATTACTTTCTAGTAAAACTTTGATCCGAGACAAAAAAAAATGGGCTAAAAGAAGAATGCAAGCGAGATTAATGCTTGAAGCGAAAAAGGGCAAAATGCTGAATTGTTAAATAACTAATGCATGGCCAATGAACTTGCCGAACAAAAGTTTTCGCTATTTATCTTTATAGTTCCGTTTGGCGTGAAGAGTGAAATTCTTTATTTAACATATATGTATTAAAGTGGACTTTAATTTATAAGCAGGAAAAATTATAATCATAATTTGATTTGACTCGGTTTAAGAAAATTTAAAGTACAGTTGGTAAATTAAATAATATTTTAAAATATAATAGATAAAGCAAAATATAGTAAGTCTTAAAATAAAAAATTATACAAGAATAAAGAACTTAAGAACTTCGAATGGAAATAAACCTCCCATTTGTCGGCATAAAACTTCGCATGTTCGATATATCATAATTGTACAATTCACGTTTTATTCAAACTCTAGTCAATACTAAAAACTAATTATATGCGTTTCAAATTAATTGTAGGTGGGGGCCCGATCGATGGACGCCGCCTCCAGGATGACCTTCATGATCTTGTCCTTGGCGAACTCGGAGGCGTCGGTGTTCAACTGGCGAAGGCGGTCGGCCACAAAGTCCCCGAATATCTGGGAGCTGTCCTTCTGGGTGCGCAGGGCATTGGCCACCGCCTTGTTGACCATATCCTCGTCCATGATGCTGATGGTGGACACCTCGCCCTCGCCGTCAATCTCGTCGTCCAGTCGCTGCTCTCCGCCGCCGCCGCCGCCGCCGGTCAGGGAGCAGCTGGAGAACATGACCTGCTCCGGCTCGTAGAGGGCCAGGTTCTCGATGATCTGCTCGTAGTCGACGGACTGGTCGGAGGCACTCAGCTTCTCCTTCTTCACCGTCGGCGTCTTGGGCTGGGCCTTCGCCTTGACTTTGTAGGGAGTGGCGCTGGAGCTGCTGGCGGATGACCTGTCCAACTGGCCGTCGTTCGAGGGTTTCTGTGGATTGGCGGTTGAGCCGGATTAGCTGGGATTTTGGAAAAACCGTATATTGGCTACTCACCAAATGGGGCTTGTACTCCAGGTGCTTCATGTGCTTCTTGGTGGCCGCATGGGCACGCAGATCGCTGATTTTGGTGTTCACGCAGCACTTGCAGAAGCGGCAGTGCGCCCGGTAGGAGTCGTCCGGATCACGGCGCAACCACGCCCGGAACTCCTCCATCTGCAGCCACACGTCGCGCAGCTTCTGCTTGTAGATTTTCATCTTTTCACCCAGTTCAAGCGGCAGTAATCGCAATGAAAACTAATTAAAAACGCACAGCAACAATGTGAATGCAATAGTGATGACAATAACAATGCGAATAGAGACGCCTGCCGCCAGTGTTGCCAGTTTGCTGGCAGAAAAAAAGCTGTTTCTAGCTGTACACAAGAAAAAGCTACGCTCCGCAGGGCGAGAAAGCTTTAAAAAAGCTAAAACGTCACTGTGCGCTTGTGCGATTTTGGTGCAGTAGTAGTGTAGTGTAAAATATAATTAACCATTTATTTTGATTTTTTACCGATATATTTAAGAATGTTTATTACAATTGGTTTTTTATTTAAACTATTAAAATATTTTTGTAATTCTTTAAAAGGTAAGTAAGTTAAACACAGCTAAATATATTAAATTTTAAATTTATTATTTTTTATTTAATAATTTAGGTTTAACATAAAAATAGCTGATCTGGCAGCACTGTCGTACCTAATTATCGCTAATATTTGATTACGATGAATACTAACTATCGCACGCACTATCGTATGACGCACCGATCTTCAGCATGGCGACCGATCATAACTTATCGATAACAACTAAAAAGCCGCGAACATGTTTTACGTTTGAATTACAAAATTTTAAATTCCAAAACTAAATAAGGTAATTTAAATACGCTAAAATTAATTGTAAAACTTTTTGAACTTCATTAACAGTCTCTTAATTTAATGGAGTTTTTTTTATTTTAAACAAATGAAAAAATAAATGCTTACCTGGTTTTAAGTGAATGTATTTAGTTAATCGAAACCCACCGCTTTCCAAATTATTATAGCAAATCACCAAATGGGCCAAAACTTCGCTCATCTGCCTATATCAAAGCCCGCCAAGAGATGTCCTTTGTAGTGGGCGGGCCTTCCGGGCATTGGCAAAGGACTCGAGCTGGCAGACAAACAATCCCCAACCGCAGACAACCCACTCAATTGGAGTTGCCTCCTTTAAAAGTTCATTCGTTTGTAAATAATTTTTAGCCGGCGGCAAAATCGATACTTCGCTTAAGATTTTTGCATATATAGCGTGGCGACCCATCGGAGGGTCCTGGAAATTTTGTCAAGCTGGGCGAAACTTTCAACGGCAGCCGTCGAGCAAAGTTATATGAGCAGCGTATGCCGATAATGCATAAGAGAGAAAAGTCGGAGGGCTAACAGAGAAATGGCATAAGAGCTGGCAGAGTGGGAAATGAAAGCATAAGCCAAATGGGGAAGTTTTGCTATTAAAGTTTTTCATCAGCGCCTATTTGCCAAGCTCTTCAAACTTGGCCCTAAACCCCTTTTTTGGGGCTGGAAGGGCAAATATTTGTCAGGCAATTAAATGTTTACTGTTTTTATTATGTGTTTTTGTTTGCCCTACCCTCCTGTGCATTTTTATTGTGACAAAGGAGGCAAGAGAATGGGTTGTAGACGGCTCTTCTGGCTAAAATTAATCATACGCCTCGTTGCCGCAGTGCAAACAATTCACCAAAGGCAAAGGGAAGCAGCTAGACCACAATAAAGCTTAATGTGCATCCTGCAACGATGGTGCGGTGAATATATTGAGTTTGGTAGAGGGGATAAAGTACCCTTAATATAGAGGAAAATTTAATAAAATGGCTTTAGAGGTTTCAGAACAGTTGTTACGTCAATTACAGAACAATGAAATGTTTCTAAACATTTTTAAACAATTATTTTAGTTTCAGAAAAATAATTGCAACATTTTAAAGACCTCCCGCCGACCATTTAAAGCCCAATTATCACCCACCTAACCATAATTATTTTGTATCAATTAATATACCGTATCCATCGTCAACCAGTCGATGGTAATGCGATTTGCCGGTCATCATTTGAAGCGATTTACTGAGGCGGATCGGATCAGCATATTATTATTATTATGGCCACTCATTCCCAAAGTCTCAAGTACTCAGCTCCATCCAATCTGGATGTCCCGACGTATGCATGCAAATTAATTAACAACACTCGCTGGGGCCATAGTAAATTAATAATTTAGCCAGACATTACGCATACGACGCATCGGCTGAGTGGCAGTAAAAAGCTGTCCAAAAAAGCGCCGGAGATGGGCCAAGAGTCATTTTAATTACCACATAACAAGGCAGCGGGCCACAAATGGCAACTGGGAAATGCTGGGAAATGTGGGTGTGCGGAAAATGGAAAACGGAGAAGGGAAAGCATGTCACGCTAAATGGAAAATGTTGCGAATACGACCTGAGGGCACAAGTGTTCCTGTGTGTGTGGGTGGAGTGTGCGTTTTATGACATTGCCAATTTACAAAATTTCATAAATATAAATTGGTTTTAAATGTTAAAATAAAACAATTAAAATCGCTGCTGGTAAGTACACCATCCTTCGCCATAATATTCACGAATTTAGCCAACATTCGAGGTGCCCTGAATAATTTAGGCGGAATTATGATTGCATTTCCCCCGAGAGCGAGTGAATGCAAATCGGAAATTAGTCAAGCACAAGCTATTCACATTTACATCGAACCTTTGGCCAAATCACAAACGGGCAAATGGCTCAATTCAATCGACGCAAACAACAAATTTATTTAGCCATCAACCATTTTCCCTATTTTTTTGTGGACAGCTGAAAAGCGCTGGAAACTGTTTATGGTTGTTACTGTTCTTGAACATTTCATCGGCTGGCGATAAAACAGCATGACAAATGAATGGAATTCGTTGGCAATTTTCGTTTTCACTGCCCCCCATAAATTTCGCACTAATAAAACTGCGGAAAAGTGCGCTACAAAAAAGCAATTGAAAAGCCATCAAATCGGAGTGCAATAAATACAACTTGAACAATATGTTCTCCCATTTTTTTTCTCGTGTAAATCAGCAATCAACGTGGAGTGCTCGAGGCTCAGATGAAATCTTTGACTTTAAGTCAGAGCTATTAAATGGCGGAGCAGTGCTAACAAATCGATATTTAATGACAAAGCTTAGTTACAACCCCACCCACCCAAAAACACGCCCCCCAGACTAACACTCGCACACTCAAACAAAGCGAGCACATACATCATTGTCAATGTCAAAGTGTCAAAGCAAACTTGCAGTGCACAAAGCTAACGGCGCATAGTTATTACACTAAAAGAAATATTACTATGTTTGCCAATTTGTGAATAATACTATATCAATACTATACCAATATTTTAGCAATATTATAATAATACTAAAACAATAATACTATATCAAACCTGTATTTAAAATCAGAAAAAAAGATCTACTACTTAAGATGTCTTAAAGTTTCTAGATATTATAAAATTCGATTTAAAACTTTGTAAATACTTAAATTACTATCATATGTTAATCAAGCACTATAATTTTCATTTTCGCTAAAAATAAACCCTAAAGATTGAAATAGTTTTCTCTGCACTCCGCAGTTCTCTCAATCCTTGGCTGTTGGAATCATCACATCGGGCCGACCGAAGTCAAGTGCAATAAACCCTCGAACCGACTGAAGAGTTTTGCATTTCGACCACGCCCAGATAATGCCACGGCCCTTCTATTCTAGCCCGCAGTTATGATGTTGCAGTAAGCAGCAAGTAAACTGCAATTTGCGCACAAAAACTTTGCTTGCGACAAACTTTCCGCCCATATGTCCCTCTCTTTCGCGGCCCCTGTTCCCCTCCCTTTCGCTCACATTGTTTTTATCTCTCTCGCACTCCGCTTAGCAAACGGGCAACAATTTGAACTGACAAAGTCCGGCGATAAAAAAAATGTTTAAGTACTTTAGTTGCGCTCCGAATGCATCGCACAAAAGTTTATTAAACAAACAGGTAACGATAAAACTGAATGGCAAAGAGAGGAAGAAAGAGAGAGAAAAAAGAAAAAGGGAAAAACACGGATGATTCACTCCTGCTGCTTTTCTTTTTAACAGATGTTTCAATGAATAACAAATTTATAGTTTTCCATGTTGTTGGGGTCACCAGAATTCGTGAATAACAAAAGGGGGAAAAGGTGTCTAAAATGGTGTTGGGTAAAATCTACAATGTAGATGTATAGAGGTTTTTTAAATAGAGGAAAAGAACCTAATTCATCAAAAAACATTTTCAATATTACTTTTAAATAATCGCACCTAAAATACACTGATATTATTTTGACGGATTTACTGAATTCTTCTTTAAAAATTTATTTTTAAGTCTTTTAATGAAATACAAGGTGTCAATCCCTCAAATTAATAAATGAATGAAACTGAATTTGGGTTTCTGTGGCCCCACTCATAAAATAATACTAATGTATACCTGTGTGTGTTTAGCAAAATCTTCCCTAGAGTATTTCTTTTGAAAAATTATCACACGGGGGCATAGAAAAGCCCCAACAATCGGGTGTCAAATTGACGAGTGGCTTGTCTAACAATAAGCCCCTCGCCCATTCGCCATTAACAATGTACAGTCATCGACGCCCTCCTGTGCTCCTTTGTCCTTCACCACCCCCCGAAAGTGCCACGCCCCCTTCTAATGTCGCCCGCCCACCAATTGTACGCCGCTCGCATAATCAATTATGCGTCTGCCGTGCGTCCAAAGTTCCAGTTCCCTCTAAACTTGGCAATTTATTTGCACCGGAAACTCAACATAAATCAAACTAATTTCTCCAGGGATTTTTCAGCACAACTTCCAACGTGTCCCATTCGCTGTCTCCCTTCCACTCGCACTGTCAGTGCTTGGTCACGTGTATTGCTGTGTGGGAGGGAGCGGGACGGAAGAAAGGGGGAGGCGTAGCAAATTGAATTTGTCGCGCTGTGTTGGATAATTTGAGGCGCATTGTGCGTCTAATTGGCCATTCGAACTGGAAACGAAAGGAAAAAGTGAAAGCCCCGAAGACATGCGGAAATTCGAAGGATACCCTGATTATCCAGGTTTTGTTCTATATTATCAGGTTGAAATGCTAATTTTGTGAGACCTACCTATTCAACTGGGCCGCATTGTACTTTCGCCGGTTGTTGACTTCGATATTCGTGGCCATCACTCATTCTGCGTTATTTTGGTTGTCAGTGACAGAAGAATTGATTTCACGGTCTTGCGAAATAAAAAAATAAGGCAGGAAAATAAGTTTAATTTCACCAGAATTTAAATAGGATTTTTATTTCTACGTGAGTGGTATTTATAGTATTTATTTATTAACTTCATATTATAATTTATTTGTATATTTTTATTCATCTAGTAATCTTATAAAATAAACTTAGATAGCAGTCCCTGTTTATTTTCTCTAATAACAAACAACATTACAAATTCTCAGTATGGCAAAGCTAACTAAAGACAATGCAGCCCATGGAGATGAATTGCCATTGGAACCGCAATTGGTGGAACTAAGTTTGAAGGATTTTCGGAACGGCAACCGTATTCCATCGCTTTCGAAGGATATTCATTTGCCCAAGCAAAAAAATGTTGTGGAAAGCCTAAAAAGCTTCTGGTTGGAAAATAAGACCCATGATTTCCTGGTGCGGCTGGGAAAATATGATTTTCCCTGCGATCGTCTGGTGCTAATGCTCTATGTAGATCTACTTAGACAGGATTTGGATAGAAGAGAGCTGCGATTGCCAGAGAATTTCGTTAGACCTGAGGTCTTTTATATACTTTTCCGCTGGATGAATGATCAGGAGCCGCTGGTGAAGCGTCCAGGAATTGTGCATCTCCTGTTGGCAGCGGATTACCTGAAAATCGAGCAACTGTCGTCTCAAATTTGGCAATGTTTGGATCAGGACTCGGGTTTCGGGGAACTTCAGGCTATTCAGGTGGCCCAGGACTCAATGCCCTTCAAGGATCTCAATCGTTTACACTACCTGATGCTGCATCGAATACACTACTACTTCCTGGTCTTTTCATCCTCCGTTGAGTTTCTCGATTTGTCCGCTAAAAGCCTCAGCGTTCTGTTCACTTCGCATGAGATACGAGTTAACAGTGAGGCGGAGGTTTTCTACTCTGCCATTCGCTGGCTGAATCACGAGTGGCCCAGCCGTCGAATGCATGCGGTGGAGGTCATGGAAAATGTGCGAATCTCCAGGATGCCCAGTGAACTGCTTCTTGTGCTCGAGTCACCGGTGGATGACATTCGTGTGGACCGCATCCTCCAGCTGCCGGAATTGCAGCCGGTCATGGAAAAGGGCAGGTGAGTACACTGAGAAAAAAACAAGCTTATTATTATCATAGTTTGTTGTAATACCAGAAGGTCGAATTCTTTTATTTTCATTTTTCACTTGAAAAACTAATTTTTCTAAACTATTTCATTTTGAAACTCATTTTAAAATTAAATATTTTCAAAGTCTATTTTGTATACATATTGCAAATACAAGTATAAGATTAATTGTATTGTAAAAAATATTTTCTTCAAATAAAATTGTATGAATATTTTAATCAGTATAAACAACAAAATAATAAACACATAATTTTAGAAACTAGGTTTCGTTATATTAATTTTTAAGTGCATCAACTGTTAATTTCCCTTGCTGCCAGTTAACTGCCATGACTCCTCATTAGATTCGACCAAGTGGCGGTGCATTTAGACGACGGAACGAAGCTGTACCAGCAGATTTATGAGATCTTTGACGTGACGGTGGTGCAACCACGGCGCTTCATCTGTCACGATTTGGCACCTTACCACCGACCGGAGCCAAATTCACCTGACCATGTGTTCAGGTACGCGGACTTCCTCAGCTACCTGGGCGTCCTGCAGACGCTGCCTTTGGACGCCTTGCAGCGTCTCCCGAAGCCCCTCTGATGGCCCAAATGGCATACAATACTCCAGGATTCCTCTCCTGCCCGACGACCTTGATGATGATGTGGCTGTGCAAGATGACAGCGATCGTGCCGTGTGGCAGTTACACCAAATTTGCATTACCTGGGCAGGTGTGTTTCTGCCTCCACTTCTCCGCTGGATTTAATGCCAGTCGCGTTTTTAACGAGAGCTGACTGAAAAGTTTGCACTTTTGTAAGAGCTCTTTTTCAAGTAACTACTGATTTTTAATTATATAAGTGAAAGAGTTTAAACTGTGAAATAGGCATACAATAAAATTAAAAGTTATTTGACTTAATTGTGATTTCTTACATTTAGTATATATACTTTAAAAATTCTAATAAAAATATAAGAGCATATTTTGTAATGACATTGAAAGATTAAAATAAGTTACTCATAAATTCTATTTAATAAATTTAAATATCATTGAAGAATAGTTATCCTGACATTTTTCAAGCGCATTTCGCATTCTATTTAAACTATGCAGAAGTGCTAGAGACAAAGGCGTAGGCCAAAAGGGGTAAAACTAATAGTTTCACTAAAATTTCAAAATTTCTTAAACGTTGGTGCAACACATGACAGCTTTAAGCTCAAACATTCTACAGAACCTTAAGCCCAAATACCTCTTTGTGTAGACACCCCTGTTTTCCATCTTATTACACTTCCCCAGTGATTTTCGAAACAATTTCCTCATCAGCGGTAACTGTGAACCACATTTCCAGCATCGTCGTCGTCATCCTGGCCACATCACCTTGTTTCGGTTTGGAATGCTCGCGGCGGTGCTCCTGAGCTCTGCACACACACTTTCCGCCTGTCAAACACCCAACCACCCACCCACCTACCCACCCACCTACCCACCCACCTGGATTTTCCGCCCACACTGGCACACACCTGGCGTCGCTGGGAAATTGAAAATGTTTGTTGCTGCGGCAAGAGTCTGCAAAGTTGGCAAATCGAGATTGCAGTTTGCTGTGACGATGATGTTTACGAGGCGAATATTCCCGGTTGCGTTTTGGGCTAATAACTGCAAACAGCAGAAGGCCCTAAAAGAAACATTTGCATAATTAACAATGTGGTGGGGGAATAGATGCTTAAATGGCTGAAAAGAAATACTAAAGACGCAGTAAGGATGGAAAACATAATTTCCTAATGCTCTCAACACTTTGAGGTTTAAAAAACGTGAGAATGCTTGCCCATGTGTGTGCAACCTGTTATTAAAATCATAAATCTGCATTAAGCGAGGAGTCTGTGTGGGCAAACAAAACGGCTTTATCAGCTAGGCAACGCATTTTTCATGCTTTTTTGCCATACATAAATTTATTTTAGACGCTCGTTCGTCTCTTTTTTAATAAACTCTCGCTGAATTTCACCGCCCCTAAGCCTCGCGCAGGGCTTATGTCCTGAAAGGAGTCCTTTAATTCATTTTCCATACACACACAGACTAAAAAAAACAGCGAGAAATTATTAAAAACCACTTTAATATATCTTCTTTGTCACTTTTGCAGGCTCTCAAGGAGAATAGGATGTGGATGCCGGGCTTACGAAAAGCCCTTGTTGACTGACAGCGCAGGCTTTAAATTGTGCTTGCCTTGGACTCGCAAAAAGAAGGGTTAAGAAGTGTCGAAAAGTAGCAGTTTAAGTTATAATGAAAATTGTAATAAAAAACTGGTTTTATTTTTCTTCCATTATTTTATTATTATTAGTCCTTAGTTAGCCTTTGCTTGGATTGAATGGTGAGGGGTTGAAATCAAAGGGATTTCGTCCTGGTGGTGGTGGCGGCCTCCAAACTCTTGCCTCGCAGAGAAATTTTTCGAAAATAGTCAAATATATGACTAAGAACAGCGTAAACTGAAGATTTTTCATCTTTTAAATCAACTAAACACTGCCACTGAAATGCCATCCATATTTATACCCAGTATATTCATGGAAATGTGATTCCCAGTCTGATAATGACTTAACAGCTCTATCTGTAATATACAGAGGGGGTTTTTTAGATTTATTCCCCCAACAGGGGATTTTTTAATTTCCTAAAGACAGATTATAAAGAACATATCAGCTAGGCTGGAATAAATCTATGCATTACTCAGTACATATTCCTCCAAAAAAATTTGTATTGTAATGATATGAAATTTATTTTTATATATATAGGAATAATTGAATTCCATCAAAATGCTAGTCGAAGCGGAAAATTACTGGCATAATTGGCCAAAGTTGAAGTGCCCTATTACCGTGTCAGTTTGATTTGGCCGAGGGAAGAATTCCCCAGAAACTGTAGCTGTAGCTATCGATTTTGTAGTTGCCCATTTTGTGGAAAAAAGAGAAGAATTGCAAGAGTGAAGGATGAAACAGACACAAAAAAAAGTTCAAAATTACAACGCATAGTTGCGGTCAATTGTTAGTGCAAAATACCCCAAACAATTAGAAACCACAATTGCTGTTCTGGCCAAGGGAGAACTTTTCATTTTTCCCGGCCCGAGTGCAGGCTGCAGTTTCCACCGACCACCGACCATCCCCTTCATTCTGGGTGGTTTTCCGGGTGCAAATGCATTCTGAGGTTAATGCTCGCAGCCAAACGAAGGGCGAACCCACTTCAGCTCCAAAGTTCGGTTTATAAACTTGCCCGGGCATTGCTGTCCTGCCAGTACATTTGGCAAATTTTCTTTCTTTCTCCTCGGAGCTCAACTTTCCCGTTGCAGCTGCAGTTTTCCACTCCGCTCCCCTGCTCCTTTGCCGTCCCTCTGTCAAGTGAGGCGGACATAATGCGATTTTAATACAGATTTCGCCCGACTTCTCCGACTCCTCCCACTTTCCATTGGCCCCGAGGACCGAAGACTGAAGTCTGTCATGTTGCATGACACTCCCCATTGGGAAGGAGTGCGAGTGTATGTAATTTATAAGCCCTTAACCGTTTATTTGCTGGCCAAAACCTGCCACATTTCGGTCCAATTCCAATCGCTTGATATATGTTATATACCTATATATATGGTCCACAACTGCGTATTTGGCAGAGCACTTAAGCCGCTTACCGCTTTTGCTCATTTTGCAAAAGTTACCCTGACTTTTGTGCAATTGAATAATTAGTTGGCAGATTTGAAAATTAAATGAGTTGAGGATTGGCAAGTAACTATGAAATTTACGAGCTAGTAAAGTAGACATCTGGGCCAGTTAATTAGCTTTTATTGGGTAATTAATGCATGTTACAAATGCAGGCACAAAGTAACAAAATTGTCGTTTATTAGGCTTCAACAACTATTACAGAATTACCAGGCAAGTAAATATTAATGAACAAATTTGCAGTAGCGGATCTAGAAATTATATTTAATTTTAATAATATTTTAAGATCAAATGAAATATGACGTATGTATAATCTATATTCAGTTTTTTCATGCACTGCGGCATATATTAATTAATAATTTTTATATTTTAAAAAATGTTCTTTTTTCATTGACATAATAATTATTAAAAAAAAACTTAAAGTAAACACGGCTAACATTATATATAATATTTCCTATCTTTAATATAGAAACTATTTTCTTTTGAATTTAATTTTTAAAATGCCATTCTAAATTTAATAAGCTGACATATTTTGGTTCTAATCTCCTTTTTCTATCAGTGTAGTGGATTTTGGAGTACCAGAGATCCTTTGTAAAGTAAACCTCAACCGATTGCCCCACTTTTGGCTGCTTTCACCAACTCGGTGCGGTACTTCACCTTCAACTCGTTCCCTCTTTTTTTGTTTTTTAGTGTGTCGGCGGCTGAGCACTTTAGCCCAACCAAAGCCAAAGCCGAACTCAAACGCCAACGGTTTTTGGATGGGCGTTGGGCGGGTGTTGAGCATTCGTGGGTGCTTCATGCTTTTACAATCCTATTAAAGTATCAGACAATCTAATCAACGGCAGGCGGCAGCTCAAAAACCGCGCGTCCTGCACACGCGCTAAACGTTGCCAAAAAGCGACGACCGCAGACAGGACGAAAGCTCAGCTTGGGTGGGTGGTCCTTTGGGGAGTGGGCGGTGGGCGGTGGATCCGCAATTGCTGACGCCATGGCTGCTTGTTGACAGCCCCTCCCCCTCCCAAGCTTCGCCAGTCCCCAAGCATTCGGTCTACAACTAAACACGCAGATAGACAAGCAGATAGCAACAACAGCAATCACTAGAATGCCAACAATGGCACCAAACAACAATCGCATTACAAGGCAAAATGTCCAGTAAAACAGGCGGAGGCAGAGTCGACTATTTGATGGCTATTGGGGGGCCGGCTGCCCAGGGAAGATATAGGGAAGATGGATCCCACTTTCTCGACCAGAGCGGATGTCGTGAGAATTAAAGCTCACATTGTGCGAAATAATATCACGAAATCTATTGGGAATTATTGAAAATTTTAAATGTATTTGTATAACTTAATAAATAGAAGTTTTTGTAAGCAACAACACTTTTATATACTTTATATACTTTTAAATTAATTTTGGACCTCTATAATGGAATGAAATATATGATTTAAGTCAGGAACCGAAAACAATCATTTATTTCTTCAAACAAAAAAAATTGCCCACTTATAATACAAAGAAATGTCGTTGTGAACCGGAAAAGTAAACTAGTTTGACTAAAATCTGACCTTTGAATCGGGGGTGGCCCACTTGGGAGATTTTGACTCATATGCAAATCTACATTTCGACAAGTAAATAAATTCTTGGGTATTTTATTATAAAACAAGAGAGAACGCTACAGATCTTAAAAATTGTATTATAATTACAAATCAGTAAAAGATATAGTTCAATTATTTCAAGGCTATTCAACCTTAATCCTTTTCATCCTGGCATGATCTCCCCAACTTTTTCAGGACTCACGCACACATCTCCGCACGTGACTGTTGCTGTCGGAGTCTCATTGTTGGTTCGGTCTGCGTCAGTTTAATTTGAATACACTTAAGTGTGTTGCGGTGTGCCTGGAAGCCGTTACGAGAATTTCCAATTGAAAATCACTTCAAGTTTAATTTGATTGCCGCTCCGGCAGCTGAGAGAAGTGGTTAGCCTCCCCAGTCTCCGATTCTCTCTGTCCGAGTCGCATTTCCATTACATTCTCTATAGATTGTCTCTCGATTTTAATCACATTTCGGGCCCCGGCATTAATATTGATGAAAACTTGTTATGTTCTGCATAATTTCTGAGGCATCAGTGAAAACAGCAATATGTTTCAGCAGTCCCTTGGACAAATAAGGGGAATACTCGTTCCCGAATTTTGCTTAAGTTTCGGTCGGTGAAGTTTCATTACTTGATTATTTCTGCGTGGGGGCGGAAAAAAATAAACGAAGGAAAGAAAGGAGCTCAAAAAATGCACGGAAAACGAAATTAAATCTCCAGGAGGCAAAGTCAACGAAAAAGGGCAAATGGAATGCGCCACGCAGACGAAAACGAAGCGAGTCGAGAGGGCTGAGAATGTAATGCAATCAAGAAGCCAGAAAGGAGGGCCCCAAAAATCAGTTCACCAGGAATGCGGAATACCCTCTCCCACGGCTAAACCATCCAGCGACTTAAATTGAATTTTACAGACTTTGGTTCTGGCCATAACAAAGGCTTAACACTTTATTAACTTAATGCCCCCATCTATCTGCGGTGCAGGTGGTGGCTGACCCCTGACAAACTATGGAGGGTAACTACCTACCCACCTACCGACATACGTGCCCGGTCATAATCATCTCTTTCCGCCACAACGATGATGAACCCATTATGCCGCCCACAGCACACATTCCAGGTGAGGGTAAAAAGAAGCAACAAAAATTGGATTTTCATTATTTACAGCATATTACACACACAACCGCCTGGTCCTTGGATCCCCGAGTCCTTCTGCCTGGGTATCGTGTATCGATAGGCATATGTGTCTATATATGCATCAAGTGGGTTGGCTTGCTTTTATTCGCCTGCAACGTGGCGTATACGTATCAACAAATAAAAAAGGCCCAGGACGAGAGTGAGATAGACAGATAGACAGGACAGACAGGATGGACCCTTTGGGCTAGGAAATTAATTAAATTAAGTCAACGAAAAGTGAAACGCCAGACGCACATAGTCGGTGTCCCCACACACACTTGTGCATTTCCTCGCTTCCTGCGAACAGGAAGCCCTTGCCGCAGGACACAGTCTTTGACATCCATCGCTCTTCGCCCCCCACTTTCTCCACTTTCAGTTGTGATGCTGCCACCATCCGCGATAAGCTCGCTTCGTTATAATCCTAATTAAATATTTAGGTTTACTCTATGGCTGTATTTACTCAGCGCCCCCCTTTGTGTCCTGTTTCTGCCCCGCTTGCTCGTCCTTATCTGATAAGCCCTTCGCTGGCCGGGCAAGGGTTAATTGCATTAGAGTTATGACAATTGCCAGCAAATTTGAGTTGGCAAAAAAAAGTGGAAAAGCAAATACGAAATGTGATTGCGAAAACAAACTGAGATACAGAACGAGACTAATTAGATAAGACTTGCTTTACCAGCTGAAAGCATTGAGAAGCGCGGAGAGGGGCGCATGCTGGGTTCAGTTGTGTTTGCAAAATAAAAAGGGAGTTTCTATCACAATTACTGAGAAGTACATTCGTTATTATTATGTTTAATACACCATGTTTTATATATTTTTTTAAGCTTTTTAACAAAATTGCCGCAAACTCGCGATTCTAGTCTAGACATGATCAAACACTTGTCCAATATGGGAACCCCCAGAAATGCTATCTGTTTCAACATTTTCCACTCCATCCGAAATCTCCTCCCACACTTTTTTGACCGTCTGACGTTTGCCGGCGCAGCTGAGACAGGGCGCAATTTGTTTTAATCAACAAAGTCAAAAAAGGGGCACGTAGATCTTCATTCTGTGAGAAATTAAATAAACTTTGTGTTGGCCAAACAATTTGCCCATCGTCCGCCTCCGAAGCGTCTGCGGTTTTGACCGCCGTTCCAGACACAAAAACACAAAAAAAAGGGCGAAGTAACAAAAATGCTGACGGGCTTCCACAGGACGCAGGACCTTTCGCCAAGGACTCGGACGTGACTGTTCGGCGAGGATAAAGGCATGCAGCATGCAATCCCTTAAAGCGATTAAATAATGCACCAAGTTCGCAGCGAGGACATTTATTTTCTTGAGCACACAAATTTGTCATAATGAAGTCGCATTCTTTGGCCTCCTCGATTAGCCAAGTGCCTTAGAATCCCCGAGTAATAACAATACGTTCGACAGATGAAATGAAAATTCCAGGCGAAGGACATAAATTATTTCAAAGGCTCTGATTTATTGGCTGACCACAACAAATGCCACAAACAAACCGAAGGAGATTTAGAAAATGAAAACGCTTGGCAGGCTTCTTTGGAGTTCTGGGATAAAAAATTATAAGCCATTTCGAGATGCCCTATTTCTTGATATTGGTTTAAAGTTATTTTTATATATTTAATACAAAGATGAGAGTATCTGTTGCCGTCTTTATTGTTTGTGTGTCCATTGTGTGTTATCAATAGAGCAAATTGAATTTGCTGCGGTGCAAAAAGTGCCACTGAGGTCGATCAAGATAAATGTCAGCGGGAGAGCGATGCCACAAATTGCGAGCCAAGAAAATGGGAAATTGCCCCGAAGACAGTTGGAAAAGCTCCGGGCGATTGTTTGCCATTGTTTGTGATGGTTTGATGGTTTGTTTTCTGATTTTTTGGGGCGTACATTTCAAATGCTCGAGTTAAATGAATCTCCAGGAATTGTTTTGTCTCTTGCCCCCGAAAACAATGATAAATGAAGGAGGTTTGCTGATGATTTAGGGATCCATATCCCTATCCCTTCTACTTCTTTTTCTAGGGCTTTGACATCTTCATTCCCTTCACAACCTGCTTATTTATTTATCATCCTCACATACTTTGAATGTAATGAATCAAATCGAATCGAATCGAATGGGATCGACGACTAGGTTCGCTTCGAATCAACTTTGTGCGCTTCGAGGCGTAAATGTTTTATGGAATGATTTATTATGCGGGGCCCTATCTGTCTGAGGGGGCGTGGCCCTGCGCCTAGGCCATAAAACATGAACCCTTATTTGTTGCCACCATCCTATTTTTGCCCCGAAGGTCCGAAAGAAACACGTCAAATCGATTGTTAACAACTCGGCTAACAAGAACAAATGTCGCTGGGATTGAAAAATTGTTATTTCTTTGTCTAGGTGTTGTTTTTTCTTTTCTATTTGGGTTTTTCCCTTTTGAGGTGAGGAAAAGCGAAGACATTGTGGATATAATTAATGATGCTGTGGCGACAAAGAAAAACTCCGATTTCTTTGTTGTCCGGAATTTAATTAGTGGTCGAGCCAATCCCTTTGAACTTGTTGGTGGCAAAACTTGATTGGAACAAATTCAAATGCTTTCCCTTAGTGGTTTTTCCTGCCAATTTTTCCCCATCTCAAGCTCTCTTGAAACTAATTACTTTGATTGCGCTGGCGTTAATTACATGCATCCATCCAACCACCTCTCGCTCTCTCTCTTTTATTTCTCTTTCTCGGGAAATTCATGCGAATGAAATTGGGCATAAAACAATGCATTTCCGCTTTACCCCCGACACATGGCTGCCTTCCGTTTCCGCTTTAGCGCCATTTTGCAAAGCCCGCCGCAGAGTAGAGTTCAATATACACGGGTTCCTAACGTCTGGCTCAAACCAGTAAAAAGGCAGAAAAAAAAACGGAGTTGTAAGCCAAAGTAAAGCAAAGAGAGGACATTGAAATTGTTGCCTGCTTTATGTTGTCATTCCATTAATTATCGTTCGTTATTTTAACTTTTAGCAGCACCCCCACGTCGCCATTGTGCACTGTCTGCACTTTGCAAAAGCACAAACCTCTACCTCATAACGTTGGCCAACTCTTTTTGTCATCCGTTTTTCATCTTTTTTTCGATTGTAATTTTTTGTCACCGCCTTTTGTTTGCACATTAAATGGCATTGGCTCGCCATGTGCCATGTGCAATTGTCCTGAGTCCCCTTTTCCCCCTTTTACTCTCTGCAAAAATTCCAATGGCCGATGGTCTGGGTAATGAATTACTAGCCACATGCTTTTTGTCCACCGCCCGCTGACTCGCAACAATGACATTGCAGTTTTTAGCCGACGCCGCCGCCGCCGGCATCAACAATTTCAGGGCCGCACACGATTCAGGATCCTCCCACAGGACTCAGCCCCTAAAAATTGTACACCCACAGGCTGTCTGAAATTATGCGACTTTAATTGTTATATGACCATGGTCCATGGCCACTCTTTTAAATACTTGGCATTGAAATATGGCCGAGACTCAGACGGTCGAGCATTTTAATTAAGATGGTTTCGGGCTATCAACTGCAATCTGATAAATGGTTTTAAATATATTTAAAAAAAAATAATTTATTAGATTTTAAAATTTTTTTGCGGGTACAAACAAAAACCTTTGAAACCATATTTCTTAACGTTATTTTCATATGGAGTTTTTTGTTTTAAAATTTAAAAGTTTCCAAATTAAACTTTTAGTTTTTTTTTGTTTACGAAGCTGCCTAACTTATTTACCCAAACAAAAACTTCTCGACCCCTCATATACTTTATTAGAATTTTCACTTAGACGAAGGACTTGTAAATCCCCATATTCAAAGCAATTGCAGAAGTGCTGCCAAGATTTCCCAGTGAAAACAAATCCGGCGCTCAAATAGAGATTTTTCACTTAAGCAGCTCCCAGTTTGGGGAAAATTGTCGAGCGCCCGAAATGAAAAATGAGTTAGGGCCGCCCAGCATTCATCAGGCCAAGTGCCGAAAGTGGGGAAAATTGTAATGGGAAAACTAAGAAAAGCGTCGAGGGCGAGAATGCCGAATGGCGAATGCCGAAAGCGGAAATGTGACACGTTGTACTTGAATGCTCTCCTCGCCTGGAAAAGCGTTTCCGGTTGCCGCAGAAATTAATTTCATTAATGCACGAAACTGGAGACGAAAAGGGAGGAGAAGGAGACACAGAGCCATTAAGTTGATTCTCAGTTTATTCAAGGAACCTAACAAACCCAGCAATTAATTTCCTATTCAAACTGCTTCTTTAGCTTGGCCAGCTGGGTGAGGAATTCATCGCGAGTGGCGCGTCTCTCCTCCAGATTTTCCAGGGGCACCAGCTGCTCACACTGCCTCGCAATCTCCGCCAGCGTTTCCCGATCCTCTCGAGTATTTGGGGTCTCTCCATAGGTGGCACTAACGGCGGAGATTTCGCCCCCGAATCTCTGGAAATAATCCGACACGCCACCGGGAGCATTGAGATGGGCTGTCTCCAGGGATCCCAGAAGGGCATATCGCAATCCCAATCCCTGACTCAGCACACGATCCACATCCGCCACGCTGAGTATATCAGAAGCCACCAGACGCCACACTTCGTTCAGGATGGCATACTGAATGCGGTTGGTGGCAAAACCCTGGATCTCCTTCTTCAGGGTCACCGGTCGCTGGCCTATGGTGAGCATGAGGTCATGGGTTTTTTCTACGGCCTCTGAGGTTGTCCAGGGAGCGGGAACAATCTCCACGAGGGGTATGAAGTAGGGCGGATTCAGGGGATGGGCTACAAGCATCTGTAAAATATTTAAAAATATTAAAAAATATTTTTATTTAATTATAAGAATCCCAAGCCCACCTGTTGCCTCCTCTTGAGTCCCTCGCTGTATAGCGATGGCATAAAGGTGCTTGTGGAACTGGCCACCACTGTCTGCTCCTCCAGCAGCTCATCCAACTGAGAGTACAGCGACTTCTTCAGCTGCAGAACCTCCGGAACACATTCCTGTATATGAATTGCCTCTCGGGTAAGCTCCTCCAGTCGAGTGGTCACCTCGATGAGGGCAAACTGCTCCGAGGCTCGCAACTTTCCCCGCAGCGCACCCTTCTCCTCCAGACTGTGCAGATCCCTGTCCAATTCCTGCAGGGCGGTGGATAGTTGGCTCTCCAGGATGTCGTACAGCTGGACTCGATAGCCAGCCGCTGCAAAGAGCATCGCCCACGCCCTGCCAATCAATCCGCTGCCCACGATCCCAATCTTTTGGCTGCCCATTTCGAACTGTCATCTGGGAGAGTTTTTTCAATGTTCCGAACTCGGAATCCGGAATTCGGATCAGAGCGTTTCGCATCAGAACGGGAACTGCAGATTTATCGCCCTCGGTTCAAGTTCAGCCAGCAATCACATCAGTCATGCGACTTTATGCCACTCTATTGATAATACATTGTTTATATATGAAAGTACACTGCGCGAAAGGGTTAACTGTCGCGGAAATACAATTCGCTTAATTTAATTTGCTTTCCATTACATATTTTGTAATCAAATATAATGCATATCTTTAAAAATGTAATATATGGGACGCTCCATATCAACCCGGCCACCCCCCTTTTTTTTTAATTTTCTATGTGGAAAGTACCACATTGATTGCAAAGCCCCTTGCTTCCAATATTTTACCTCATACCCATTTTTTCAATGTTACCACTCTTTCGCCGTATAATCGCGTAAAAAAGAAAACACAAAATCATTTTTATCCTGCGAACGAAAGAAACAATTGGCATGGTTCAAAATCAGAAAAACCTGTCTTTCCATAGCCGGTTACGAGAAAAATAATAGATTTTATTAGACCGTAGATGACCAAGCGATAGCGTTTTTAAAGTCTAAAAGTAGGATTTCGTCCAAAGGGCCAGTCTGCAAAAATACCATTATATTTTTCTCAGAAAGCCCCATATTTAACGGATTTTATGCCACTGATTTCAAAGTGGGATCTCTCTTGAGGAATTAGCTATGAATTCTTTTGTACGTTTTTGTAGTAGTTAACTGTCAGAAAAAGCTAATAAGTAATATAAAATAATCGTATATGCTTTGGAAAAAATTAACAAATCAATGAAAAGAATTCATAGCTAATTCCTCAAGAGAGATCCCACTTTGAAACTAGTGGCATAAAATCCGTTAAAACTCGGGCCTTTTGATAAAAATATAATGGTATTTTTGCAGACTGGCCCTTTAGACGAAATCCTACTTTTAGACTTTAAAAACGCTATCGTTTGGTCATCTACGGTCTTAAAAAATCTATTATTTTTCTCGTAATCGGCCATCGAAAGACAGATTTTTCTGCTTTTGAACTATGCTGATTGTGCCTTTCGTTCGCAGGTTAAAAATGATTTTGTGTTTTCCTTTCAGCGCGAATATACGGCGAAAGAGTGGTAACATTGAAAAAATGGGTATGAGGTAAAATATTGGAAGCAAGGGGCTTTGCAATCAATGTGGTACTGTCCACATACAAAAAAAATCAAAAAAGGGGGTGGCCGGGTTGATATGGAACGTCCCATATGTAAATGTAAATGATTCCTTGACAATTCCAAAATCCATGTTTCTCCCGAACAAATCAGTATTTAAAAGAAACAAAGGAAAATATTGTATAATTGTTATGTATAATTGTTGTATTCCTAATCAAAACCTATTAATATATGAACATATTCAACATCTCAGTTCTACTCTTTAAAAAAAAGCCTGAAAGTCCGAATTTGTATTAATTTATTAGATTACAATATTTTAAAAAATTATGCATTTTAAATTCACTATTTACAGACAAAAATCTGTTTGTTAATATTTAAAGAAAATAAAGTGGTTTGAAACTACTACCCTTCGAGCATTTTTATTAATAAATTCAAATAAAGCATTGACAAAAGTAACAAAAGACCAAACATCTTTGAAGTCTCGGCAATTCAATAATTAATTTCGTTTTACATTTAAAGTTCCTGTACAAACTCCGCCCACCTTCCACCTTGCTTTTTATAGAGCCTCATTAAATTTTATTGCTTATCAACTTTGAAGGCCCTGTGAAATTCTCAGCAGCCTATTAATTGATAATCCCATACTTTGTGATTTATTAAAGCTTAAGCTTTCACTTTCGGCCTGCGAGGCGATAAGAATGGGTTGCTATATGGGGGATATATGTATTTTTCGGAGGCGGGAGCATGACACTTTGCCCAGCTGACAAAAGCCTGCATGTAATACTTTTATGCATATTTCGCGCATATTTTTCTGACATTGTAAGTGGCTGAGGCTGCCGGCAATAAATTATTGAATAAGCACTGCCAACAACAACAGCAGAAACAGAAACAGCAACAGAAACCGGAAGAGACAGCAGAGAAATGGAGAAATGGTGAAATGGAGTTCTGGGACGGAGTCTCGTTTTCATATGTAAACCACATTAATCATACGCCCCGTTTGCGTTTTCATTTACGCCACTGACATATGTATGTACTATATGAAAAAAGAGGAAAAGAAATGCGAACGAATGAATAACAACAGCAATAACAGGAGCAGAAATCGGAAAAGCGGTGGGAAAAACTGAATCCATATTCCCAGACGAAAACTGTTAGGCAGCCATGGGTTAAATCAGCCATGAAATGCCATCTACACTATGGCAAGCCATAAAAATAATTCCACAAAGGGCCAGCCAGAAATATTTATACACATTGAGAGATTCGCTTCGCATTTCACTTCATTGCATTTAAATGCTTGTTAATAAAAACGCAAAATGGAAATGGAAATCAATGCCAGTTGCAAAGGGCGAGTTGTTGAAAGCATTTACGTTTACGTTTGCCTTTGCCCCTTGCTTTCGAAAATGCAGAGAACTCAATGGAGAGGAAGGAAAACGTAAAAAATTAATCCGAATTTCGATACGCCAATTACACGCCATATTTTATTTATTTGCCATTTATTGGAATTTATTTTAAATTACAAAAGGGCTATATTTATTGGGATATTTCTGGCACACTGAGTGTGCAACTAACAGGTGGCCCACAGTACAAAACTAATCTAATTAGAAATCCCTGGGTCACCTTAAAGCCACTGGATCCTTCTTTTCTGGGCCAAATCCACAGCCACCGCCGCCAATCAAATGCGGTCAACTGTCACACAGGAGCAGAAATCAAAATCACCAGCAAAACAGTTAAAACAGCTGCAGCATCAGCAGCCGTAAAAAAATAGGAGAAAAAAAACCAAGGGAAAACCTCAAAATCAATTAATTTTATTGGCCATCTTGCCGAGGACCCGGAAATCCGTCCGTGTGCGGAAAACTGAAATGTCATTGTGGTGAAAAACTATTTCCCAAACAGAGTGCAATTCCCCGTATTTCGACCTTTTTCGTGCTGTCACTTTCGGTGAGGGTATTATGGTCTGGCATCTACATGGGGTTTGTGATAAATTAAATCGGTTTAAATTCTAAAGTGATTATATCTGGGGCTTAAGCGAAAGCGTGGGAATAAATACAAATATTTATAGTTAGTTTTGGGATATTTTTGCCAACTAATCTGGATTTATACTGACAGATAAATTAATAGAATAATATTTTCAAAATAATACTTATTCTAAGTTTTTTATTAGTTTGGATTATATTTACTAACCAATCTGGATTTATACTGACAAATAAATTAAATTGAAATAAATTGTTAAATTGAAATAAATATTTAAAATATATTTTGTTTAGTTTGGGTAACATTTACCAACTAATCTAACTTAATACTGACAAGTAAATATTTTATTACCTATTTCACTAGAAACTTCTCTATATTTCACATATATTTTCTACATCATTACTATTTATATTGCAAAATGTTAATTTCATAATAGGGTATTGCAACTTCTTTGGCCTCAAAAGCAGCCACTTTTCTCTATTTTTTATAGTGTTTGCCATTGGGCAGAATCTAAATCTGAGTCTATCTCCTCTCTGACATTGACAAAAGTGCAAAGGATTAAAAGTTGTACACGGGGCCGAACAAAAGCCATTGAGAGGTAACCACATGGATACAAGCGCTCGGACACCCTCCCCTCTTTTTTCTACATTTTTTTACAGCCGCACTGAGGAATTGAAGTCACGTAGTTTGTGTGCAAATTTTTTGCTGCTCCGTGTCCCGTGTTTCATGTCCATGTCCGTGTTCGGAGTGGTCCCTTTTTTGATTCGGTTATGTTGCTAAATTTAATTCTTGCTTAGCCGCCGCACACTCTCTGATTAAATTTTGCCCCCGACACTTACGTGATTTCAATGCGTAATTTATGCCAATAACCCGTAGTGGAGGAGGCCATATGGACCAATGGCCGACCCACCGAAAACCCGGAGTCTGACAAACTTTTAATTAGTTTAGTGTCACTCGAAGCGACCGGAGTCCCTTTGAATCTGTAGGTAGGCCAGGGTAGGGTATTTGTTTTGAAGAGGTGCCAAGTAGCAAACACACTCGGGGATTCTAGAGATTTTGAGATCCTGAGATTGCCGGATTGCCAGATCCCACAGATAACCGCGCTCACGTGTTAATGTCTGTTTGCTCGCCTCAAAATGCCTGAATGCCATGTGTGTCGTGCGCCCTCCTCGGGCTTAGATTCTAATCGGGCTCCGTTGCCTTGGCCACACTTGTCACCCGGCCGCAGAGATTCGTCCTTTGGTCCTTTGGTTGTGTCACCCCTCCCTCCTCTCTTTCCCAGAACCACCCGCCCCATTTTGCCATCCAATTAACTTGATGTCGCCGCAGTTCCTCCGTTCCGAGGTGAAAAGTTGCAGCCAAATCAAATGTGCCAAAGCGTGGAAAAGTCGCGTGACTGTCAACAAAGCGAAATCTCTGCCAGTGTAAGTAAGTCCCGGCCAAAAGCGGCCAAAGTTCGCCTTTGAATACTCTTAGCAGGAGCTGAAATCCTGCGAGTGGAATCATAAAAGGAATTTCCTTTTCAGCGGGTTAAATGGCACAAGTAACCCAGATTTACAATCGCGTTTTTAAATCAGTTCAAGGATGAAGGGGATGTAATTAAAATACAATATTTAAAATGTTATTTAAAAATATTATAATAAAGATAAAATGTGTTATTTACATAAAATAAAATTTTAATTTTCTGCAAGATTCTACTTCCTGATTTAAAGGACATTTTTTAAAGTTAACCCACTTCAATTTTAATATTTCTTGAATCTAATATTAAATCTGGATGTAATCTACAGTAATCGTTAAATATTTTAATATAAAATAATTATACTTTTTTATAAACGAACAAAGATTGAATTTCTACAAGATTTTACTTACTAATTTCATAGACATTTTTTGGCTGTCGAGA